GGATTTATCAATAACGATAGTGGTTCTTCTTGTGGTGGACTCATTCAAGATAATCAAGAAAATTGGATAAAGGGCTTCACCAAGTACCTTAGTTATCACCTTTATACTGCAGTCGAACTTATGGCCATCCTTGAAGGCCTCAACCTTTATTGGAATAACAAGCTTACTTAAGCTAACATCTACTCAGATTCTCTTAAAGTGCTCATTCTCATTCAATATAAATTCTCCTAAAAGCACCCACTCTCCCTATCATTGAAAATATTGGAGATCACATAATGAGAGACTAGACGATTACTTTCAATCCTATGTGTAGAAAAGCAAATCAATGCACTAATTGGCTTGCTCATCAGGTTATGCATGACAGTTTAGATGCTAAGATTTTTTATATCCCTCTGTCTAGATGTAGGAACCTTTTGCATTATGACATGACCTGATTGGTTTTCTTTTGCAGGGATTTTATCCGTAGCCTTATATTAAAAAAATGCATATTTTCATACATTACTAACTAGTCAAGTTATATATTGTAGACTTTCAATTACCTAATACTATTACTATTACTAGCACTACTACTATTATTATTAACAACACTATTTGAGATTAATTATGATAGCCTTATTGTAGCTTGATTTACTTTTCAATACTATCTTTCTTTTGAATTATATATCCACAAAATATTTTTAAAATACAAAAAAATAAATAAAAATAGCACAAAACTAATTCCAGATACTATCAAGTTGTAGTTCTTTTTCACTCCCTCCATTTAATATTATAAGTCATTTTTTAAATTATCATGACTAAAAATATATGACATTTTGGATCCTTTAAGATGCAATTAATAATTTTTTTATAAAAATATCCTTAATTAAGTGCTGTAATTGATAAATTATAAAAATATCCTTAATTAAGTGCTGTAATTGATAAGTTTTTCTAATTGATACACCCTATTAAATAAAGATAAACATAAAAAGATTGTATGATTTTAAAAAGTATTAACTAATTTATTGAAAATATAATTCGTTTAAGGTGCTTTATAATTCTTAATGGGGAAGGAGTATTTATTTATGAAAGTCATAATTTATTAATGTAATTTGATTAAAGTGTTTATATATATAAATATATATATATGAATTAGAGGGGCAAGTACTAATGGAATGATATTACAAGTGAGATCGAATCAATGATTTTCCATTTACAAGGGAGCTAACATGTTACTATGCTATAAGGCCATTGGCTATAATTTATTTTTCATATGCATTCATTTAAATTATAATTGAGTTTGAGATCTTGTTGTTATTGATAATAAAATATATCCCTTCATCCCAAACTATAAGATACTTTTTAATAAAATTTCACATATCAAAAAAATTATTAAATATAGTTAACAATTTTATTTTTAAAAAACAAAATATTTTCTCTATTCCAAATTATGAGACAAGGTTAAAAAAATTTTATTATCTCAAATATAAGACTATTTGATAAAAATAATGTTTCATTCATGATATTTTTTTTAAATATAACTCTTCAAATGAAAAAATAATTGAAGTCATTATAGATTTAAAGTTATATTAAATAAAGTGTATTTTAAAAGTTTATATTTTTATTTTTATAAAGTGTCATTAGTAATATGTATTGATATGCATAATATTTTTTTAAATTATCTTATAATTTAAGATAAGGGAGTATAAACTTTTAAAAATAACATTCATTTAATAACCTTAAATCTACACTTCATAATTAAATATATAGAGAAAAAGGGCAATATTGAAATAAGTTTATTTAATAAAATATTAATATTTTTAAAATGCCTTATATTTTGAGGCACTAAATCTCTTCAAAGAAAATATCTTATAATGTTGGACAGAGGGAGTATTTTTTATATAAAAAACATAATTTGGGATATAGGTAGATTGATTTTTTTAAAAAAAATGGAATGGATGAATCTGCAAGTTTCCCCGCTTTTCACCAACCAAAAAAAAGCATAGAAAATAAAATAGTTTTAAGAGATAAAAGGAAAAATGATAAGTCAATACCCACATTCATTTTGATAAAAAATACTCTAAATAGTTAATGGTTGTTATTTTAGTAACAACGCCGCTCACTTAATATGGAAAGGGGTAATTATGAGTAAAATTTAAAAAAAAATTAAGTAATATGTAACTTAGAATTTGGTCAAAAAAAAAAGTATACTAGCGAAGCTTATTATAAGAGACTTTCAACATATTTTACTATAACCACAAAAAAAAATCTTAAAACTCATTAACTATAACTAAAAATTTAATAATTTTTTAACTTTTTTTATTAAATATATATATACTTTAATAATATATTTTTTTCTCTTCAATATTTAATAGAGATTAAATAAAAAAAATAAAAATTTAATAAAATAATTTATAAATAAGATTAAAAAAATATGAAAAAATCCTTTAAGTCAAAGGGGTGCTGACTCAATTATTTCTTCAGCCGAGAAACGCCAAGGTTGTCGCCACTTCTTGTCGTGCTTTGCCTTTGTTTGTCATAGTCAGCCCATTTCTTTGCAGCTTCGCTCAGATGTCAATATATATATTCGAGCAACAACAGGCATATCGCATAAATTTGTAGCTATTTAAATTATGCCTTCGTTTGGGTTTGCCTCAATCCCAGATTTCGGAAGGTAACTCTATCTCCTCCTCCTTCATCTAGTCTCTTTCTTTTATTTACTATTATTTTTAACCTCTTTTTATTTCAAGAAAATGACTTCTTCTTGTTGTGTAAGAGGGGGAAATAGTAATAATAGATGGTATTTTTTATTTAAAAAATTAATATTTTTATCTTCCTAATAATATTGCTGAAATTAACTAGTGAGTTTTCTTAATGAATATATAAATTGATATATTCCCTTCCAATTTAAAAAGAATTACTATTTTGAGTTGCTGAATGCCTGTGTGACATTATGTATGATCCCTAATGTAACCAAAGTTGCCTTTCATGCTTATTGTCAGATCTGCTTGTTCAGCCATCTCTGCTTTCAGACGGTTCGTATATAGTATCTTCTCTCTTGATATTATCATTATTTCCTTCACTTCTCTATTCTCTTACTCTATGTTTAGTATATGGAATTTTAAAAATAAAATAAAAAATGTGCTAAAAAAGGAGATAAGTATTTATTTTATTTTATTTTAGAAAATACTATTCCTTTTTTTATTAGAAAGACTGGCACTAATGACTTAAAATTATAAGCAGGATCAAATCCACAATCTTTCAATTACAGGAGAGCATACATGACGTTAGACTACAAGATCATAGGCTAAAAAACACTATTTTACCTAGCAAAATTTGTATTACTAAACTTCCACTGCTCCCCTACTTTTGGCAATCGTTAGTTTGTGATCAATCTGTTTCAATATGCCTATTTTCATGCGTTACTAATCTCTGTTGTTGCTGTTTCAAGTTGTAAGGCAATTGATTTTGTAAGTCTACGTTGTGGAAGCTAAATGCTTGTTTGTTTTGGGTAAAATAAGTTTAGGCCCAAAAGCCTTATTGTCTTAAAATCAATCTTGTTTTCGAACTCGATCTTTTGATGAGGCTTAAGGCTAACCTTATAAGCTTACATTTTATTTATTTTCTTACAAATTTTTAAAAAATTTAATTTTTACATTATAATATTACATATTTAATTTTTAAAATAAAAATTATAATGTTTAAAAATAAAAAGTAAATAATATAAATTCTAATTTTAAAATATAATCACGTAATCCAAAATCTAAATTTAATTTAAAAATTAAAAATACTTTTTTTTAGGTATCAAACTAAATATGAACTTAAATGGCTAGCTTGAATTTCAATTAAGAGCTTTAATAGCTCAGGTTTAAAAGCCCTTTTATATTAAAAAAGATACCTTAATTTTCAAAGCTTGAACTTTAAAAAAAGTGTGCTTAGACATATAACCTGATAAATCCAGCCAATATTCTTACTAATTAATGAAACACTTTTGAAAAATTCTAACTAATTTGATAATTTACGCAGGTCAATTCCTCAACAAGATGCCTTCAAAGATATAATTAAAATGTTATTTGCTGTTATTCAAGTGAACTTCCCAAATTCATCTCCTTTCAACGAGAACTCTATAATCATGTGAATTCTTATCATAAGCATTTGCATCTATGGCTTCACATCAGATGTTATTTCAGGATCATGTGCTTATACAGCAATGATATCACTGATGGTTCAAGATCATGTTAAAGTGTACCTCTTCATCACCTATTCAACAGTATTGTTCATATATTTTGCCTGCAAGGAAATATGGAATATATGTATTGGTGCAATTTTATATTTGAAGAACAAGTGAAATTTAATAATTAATGGAGGCTATAACAATAATTCTTCAAATGACAATAGTGTCTAGACTCGCCACTTAAATAATTTTTGTTACCAATGTTGTACGTTTTGTATTAGATTTTGTGCTCAGATTTCTAATATAATATCCCTTTGCAATGTTCCCACTTACTAATAGTATTTTCCTGTTTCTTTTTATCATTAGATCGTGTAAGGGAGAGTAAGTAGATCCTCTCCTCATTCTTCTTTCTCATTTTCCTCTCCTCATCTAATCTCCGTCCTTAGATAAAAAAATGAATAGTTCCTATTTAATTATTTATAAAACAATTTTCATAATATTATATTAAAGAAAAAATAAATAATGTTAAATTGTTAAAATTTGATCTATCTAGTTTATATCTGCAATAAAATAAATAAATAATTCTACTTTATATATAGTTTTAATAATATATAATTGTGAACTATGCAAGTCAAATTTTAACAATTTAAGTTGATTTTTATTTTTATATAATATTATGACAATAATTTTATAAAACCAATAAATCTAGAGCATATTCATTTTGTTATTCAGGGGGTGGAGATGTGATGAAGAAAAGAAAAAGAGAGAAGGGACAAGAAGAGGATCCGGACTGGCAGAGGGATGTTAAAGGGAGAAGAATATTAACCATAAAGATAATGAAAACTTATCATCAATCAACATAACAAATGACAATGAAGATAATAAATTTAATTTACAAAAAATAACATAATCATGGGTTGAAAGATGACAAACCAACCCCAAAACCCAAAACCCCTGATGGCATATAAGGTGAGGACTTATGTTACCCTCGCACTTTAAGTAAGATTCAACCTCTTACCACTAATACAATGTTATATCCTTTATATAAATTTTAGAATCACCAACTAGTAGGTAATTAACACTAATCACCTTGACTAATCCAACAACCCCTCAAGTTCACATCAATTAGGTTTCCAACTTGCCAAAGCAAAATACAAGTGAAGTGAATTAAACCAATGACAACGACAACAAACTTATGAATAAAACTTTTATGGAGATATCATATCCGAAAGAAGAACCGTGCTTGCCCTCCCGCTAAATGTACAATATGAAGAACATCTTACAGACTTCAAAATAGATGCGAAGAAGATGCAGATCCAAATAAATGTTAACAATTCATGTGAATCCCACCAGGCAATCTTAGCCTCCCTGCTCAACTCTGACTGGAGCTTGCAGATTTTCAAAAAGAAGAAGAAACAACAAACTTGGCTTCTCTTCATTGCTTCCACAGAGGGACATCCTTCCAGAGTTTTTAAGTAGATATCTCACACGCACAAGAAACAAAAGAATCCACAATCGAACTCCCATGGCTCTTAGAATTGTTCTTCACTGGATTCATTTCTACACTAGATTTTCCCCCAACAGCAGAAACACAAGTTTGTTCAGTCAAAGCCGCTGGAAGAATTTTATTTGCCTGGGAACCTTCTCAAGAAGCAACCCACAATTGTCAATTAATCGAAACAATTATTACTGTGGCAGTCATTTCTCCAAAATTTTCTTTTCAATTCTATCTTTTGGTCAATTTCCTAATGAAAACTTTCTTGCCTTTTCCATTTTCATGAATCTCAATCTTTGATTAATATAATTTTCCTTATCATAAAAAAAAAAAAGAAAAAAGAAAAAGTGAATCCAACTAGGCAACCGCATCCCACATTTGAAACAATCCACATGGCACAACAACAATATAATGGCTTCATCAGGGTGAGGCACAATAAAAGCTGCAACACCAGCAATTTATTAAGACTATGGAAGCATAATTTTCTTGAGACTTTAGCCTAACACCACCAGGGCAATCCAACAACTTACATTTTTGTCTAATTGCACCTCTCATATTGATCTAGTTAAACGAGGGGTAGCAACGATATTGACAACATGGCTTCTCTTCAAGATCTTAATGCCAACATTTGGCAGGCCAGTCACACCCACAGTAATTGACTTATTGATCTCACGGTTTCGACAGCAATTCTTTAACATTTCAATCAGAGTATCAGCTCCAAGACAATTACTTGTTTGCAAAAGATTACATTCTTTTTGGCATTTTTGTTTCGAACCATATTTGTTACATCATAATTACCACCTAATCCAACCTCCATCATAGCAACATGCACCTGATCTGCTCCAAATACCTCGAAGGCAAGCAAAGCAAGAAAGCGAAAAAGGGTAGGCTTTTTTGTGTTTTTTTCCACACCATCTAAACCAAATCTTTCACGAACATCTATGAGGTGAGGAGATGTAAAGAGCCCAGTGTAAAAAACCAGTTATGTAATATAGATTATGTGAATCCATCAAGCGAGGATCAACCCGATCTTGATTCAAACTTTCACCCAAAAAAAGAAGAAAGGAAGTAAGGAAGAAAAAAGATAAAGAATCACCTGATTGTTTGTGTTCTTTCTCCCCAGCCCACAGGGAAGCTAATGGCGAGTCCAGCTCGGATGAACGCAGATTTTAGTGATGCCAGTTTGCGATACTGTCAGAAGCAGAGATATAAAACCAATCAGCATAAATTCTTCTTTGACTTTCTGGAGCGCTTGGAAAAGTGGCTTCTGATTCTTCTTCGTAAGGTACTTTCCAACATAATGAAGAAAAACGTTCGCCGGCCAAAGACCCATGTGGGAGTGAATTCTCAGTTGTTCTCATCTTCACCACCACAGGCTCAGCCATAACCAAGAGATCATCAGACAAGTCTCTAAATCTGTCGCAGACAGGACCAAGAACGCTCCTCACAGGGACCTTCATTCGAGCAGGTCGCGTCAAAAGCCTATAGTTCTGCTAGAGACACCGATGGGGACACAGAAAGGTTCTGCCTCGTTAACCGGCACAGGAAAACATTTCTGCTGGCGATGGGGAGCCGGTCGAAACTGCGTCGGAGAAGCCAACGGAATCCTGTACTCCGAAGAAGAGAAAGAGAAACGGCATGACTTTAAGCATAACCTAGGGTAAACTGACACAGATCGGATCTTTGGATGATCCAGCCCGAAGTCTTGCAACATGAAACAGACATTGTTGATGGGTTTTGGTACTTGAATTGCCAGCCCCATTCTTGAATATCCAGAGAGAGATTCTCTTTTTTTTTTTTTTTTTTTTTAACTCAGCCAAGGCCTAATCAAACCGAAGCTCATGATAGCATGTAAAGAAGTTTAAACCTTTTCTACCAAAAAATATTAACCCATTGTTACCCATCACCTTTAGCTAAACAATACCAACCGTTGAATTCTCCCGAGGCCAAATATCTCTTACAGTTGCAAGTCAATGTAATTCGTATTTCAACTAATTAAAACAAAATTAAAAGGGTTAGATTAAATTAAAAGTATAAAAGTAAATTAGCCTTTCAACTATATGTTTAAAAGTATCTAAAATTCTAAATTTAATTTATATGCATTGTTCAATAGTATTATTTAGTTCCTACAATTAACAAAAATTAATTTTAATCATTGATGAACTAGAAAATAATAATGGAAAAGAATCTTAAAATTATAGAAAATAACTAATAAATTTTTTTTGGTTCTTTTTGTTTTTAGATCCTTAATTGTAATTTTTGGGTTCTTTTATGTAATTTTTAGATCTGTCAGTTTCTAATCAATTAACAGTCAAAATTAAATTTTATTAACTAGGGCCACATTGAAGCGTTGTATAAAAAAATAAGTTTAGGGTTTTAACTGCTTTTAAACCTATATTTGAGAAGCCAATTTTCTCTTTTATCCCTTAAATAAAATTCTAAATTTAAAATTTCAAAAATTTATCTTAGTGTCAATTCTTTCTCAATCATTCTTCTACAATTTCAATTAAAGCATTCCCAATGAGTTTCACAGTTCCAAACATCTTATAGTCTTTTATTCATGTTCAAATCACTTCCCAAACTATTGAAAGGCATACAAGTTTCAATAATACAACTATGCCAAAAAAATCTCATTTTAAGGTAAGAATCTAGTACTCAATTGTAACTCAAATTAAATATACTTACCATGAACATTTAAACATTAAATCCTCATTACCTAAATTTTTTAATAGAAATAATTTCTTAACCAAAGACTATTCAGATTGTTCATTCCGAAAATTTGCATAAATTCATCCAAATTATAAAAACTAAATAAACTTGTGATCCAACACAGCAACCAATTTTAATAAATATTTCTAAGTTATCTATAACCAATTATCAAAAGTTTCAAGTAGCAATTAACTTTGAAAATTGAAATTCTCTCTTTTTTTTAAACAATTAGGGCTCAATCTTAATATATCTAGATGTAAAAATTCAACCTTTTTCAACAAACTAAGCCAATTAAATTTAAGTTTCACATACCTTAATAATCCTACATTTTTTATTGGTGAAACTCAATGCTTATTTTGAGTCTTAATATAATTAAACTTGTCCCGCTCCTCTCAATATTCATATTGCGAAACAGCTCTCACTGTTAATGATAATTTTTGTGAAGGAAATTTTGTGATTTGGAGATGCTACAAGAACAAAATGAAGCTCAAAAGTTCTAGAAAACTCTATCAATGGAGTACCCAAACGTGCGTGACCTATCACTTGTTAAAGAAGAAAATAAAAGGACTCGGCTTCTCGCCTTTGAACTTTCCTTCTACTGCACCTACATTGTATCATAACAAGATTTGGACTATTCAAACTTAATTTGGATAGTTCAGATTTAAAAATTTTTATTGTTAGTTTATACTCCCTCCATTCAAAAATATAAAGCATTTTAATCGAATTTCACCCCTCAATAAAGGTATTACCTACTTTTAAACTAACCTTAGCTTTCTATATTTACTCTTATTAAATACCATACAATAAATATAAAGTCATTATCAATAGGGATGCTTTTGAAAAAAAGACAATGATTACACCTCAAAAGACTAAAAATGCCTTACATTTTTGAACATCCAATTTCTCAAAAAATGCCTTACATTTTGAATGGAGAGAGTATTTATAAAATAAAAATTATAAAAAAATTAATAATTCTATTCATCATTGATCTAAATAGTACATATTTAACTTGGCCGCTCAAATTTAATATTACACATTTTTATAATTTTTAAAATTGATTATCTAAATATACTCTATATAATAGAGATTTAATATTAAAATTTTTCATAATTTTTTATCTTAATAAGAAAATATTTAAAATATAATACGTTTCTAACATGTACTTTCTAAAATATATTTTTCAAATGGAAAATCTATATACTTAGTCTTATATACTTAAAATGCTTGTTTACAATTACATCAAGGCAAGTGGATCTTCTATAGATTATTTATTCTATAACAAACTCTTATTATTAATATTATTAATAGATTAAAATACTTTTACTTAATTTGATTGGATGAAAGTATATTAAGCATATAAGACTAAGTGCCTAAATCTTGCCCCTTTTTAAAATAAATACAAGTTAAAATTTTAAATCTAGCTGTTGAAATTAAGGTTTGTTTGGGAGATTTTTTGGGAAGGAATGAAATCGAATGAGATGGCTAAAAGTTCTAAACTATTATTTGGAAGAATTTTTTAAAGAGAGAATGACAGAGAGATTTCAAAAAGATCAATTAATTTAAGTTAGGTCCCAAGTGTCAAATTTCAGGAATTTATAATTCAATCTTTTAATTTTGCAACTCCGTTGTGATGAATTTGTAATTTGTATTTTAAATTTTAACAAAAAAATTTTTTTATTCTTCAACCATGTTAAAACTTGAAAAATAAATTGCAAACTCATCACAATACAATTGCAAAATTAGGAGATTGAATTGTAAACTTCTAGAGTTTTACACTTGTGACGTAATTTAAATTAATTGATCTTTTTAGAATCTCTTTGTCATTCTTCCTTTTTTAAAAGGAAGTGAAATGGTTTAGGATGGCCTTCCAAGCTATTTTTAGCCATCCAAAATGTAACATTCTCGACTTTAAAATAGATTAATTAAGCCCAAATCAACTAATTAAGTGTATTAGGGAGGTGTGTGGCCAGAGAGGCCTAACGGGCGTGTTTCATCTCAATTTCATCACTAAACGCAGGTCTAAAAGAGAATCGGGTCACCCGAGAATGGAAGAGGAAGAAATTTTGAAGAGAGAGTTTTTGTGCCACGCGCTGCGGCTTGTGGATGAGCCATCGCGATGCATGTATGATAACACGTCTGGGAAGAGGCTCTCTATGCCATGCGTCGTGGCGCATTGTGCAATCGCCACGACGCATTGTGCGTCGGCCACAGCACATGGTCATAATTCTGCTATAATAAGGTCGCATATGTGATGCAAGAGAGAAGGAAAGAAATGAATAACTGAGAGAGAGACGAAAGAGAAAAGCTAGGCTCAAGAAATTTGAAGATTGAGAGTAGTTTAGAGCTACTAAACATCAAAGGTAAGCTTCATACACTTAAATCTTTCTCTTTTTCCGTTTTCTTGATGGTAGAAGTTAGATTTTGATTGATAATGGTGATTTTTGATCCATAAGGCTATGGGTCTAAACTCATTAACTTAAATAGAGTTAATGAGAGTAGATTAAGCTAAGTAAACATGGTGTTTATGATTATATGAGGATTGGTGGTTGGAGGACATTAATTGTCTAAAAATTCTCATAAATATAGTAGTTGAGAATAATGTGGTTCCATTAATGACTATTAAAGGGCTCAATGATATTAATGAGGGTTAAAGAAAGCTAAGAAACCCTATGGGTACTATTACATGAGTCAAGAATAAATCTTGAGTATTAAGAAATGTTGAAGTGTTAGTGAAAACTAGCTCAAAAGTGGTTATTGATGTTTTGCATAGTAAATGCTTGTAGAGTGACTAGCATTGACACCGTTCAAGCTTCTTAAAAGCTTTAAGAGTGAGTAATTGAGAGGTGAAATTTTTTATCTCTCAAAGGTTTAAGGTAACCGGGAAAATTTTATCTTATGCTTTTGTGTGTTTATTAGTTTATGGATTTATGATTGATCATTAAAATGTATAAATTAAAATAAAATGCAAGTGTGGATTGATTTTTTAGAAAATTCACTAAATTTTTTTTGTAAATTTTATGCCTTGTGAATGTGAAATTCTTTAAGAACCATATCGGTGGATTTTCGTATTATGTTTATTGGGAGTTCAATGACTTTGTGATTTGAAAAGTAACATAAATCTTTGTTTATAAGAAGTTTAATGATATTTAAAATAGTGAAGTTCAATGATTTCAAAAGTGTGAGGTATAATAATTTTGAAATTTAGAGTTCAATGACTCATTTAATTTGAAATTTTATGAAAATGTGTTTAAGAAGTCCAATGATTTGTGAGATGGTGAAGTTCAATGGAATTGGATTATGTGAAGTTCTATAAATAGTGTATAATGTGAATTACTATATAAATATACATTGCATGATCTTGAGAGGCGGGAACTCGCTTAAGAAGAGGGGTAGAGAATTAAATCCACGTGATAGGGCTCCCATCTGAGTAATGGCTTGCCGAATTGATTTTATTCTTATTGTCCTACTTGTTCAATGAGAGACTATCTCACTAATTTAACGAGAGACTCGAACCTAGCTAACTATCAACTAATTCAATGAGGAAGCTAGTTTAGGATGTATGACCCTCATAGTGTGAGAAATGGGAGAAATCATATTCTATAAGTGAGTTGGGTACGACTTGGCTGGGTAATCCCCTCACAAGTGTTTAAGTTAGGGAATTTCATGGATTATAGACTATCCCATTATATTATATCTTACGGTTTCATGTCAGAAGAATAATGAGGATATAAGGAAGGTGTGATCATGCATATAGTAAGTAAGGACACATGATTGTCTGTATTGTGACCCTAATGATGATAATAATAAGTTGAGTCTTAATTACTTTTGAGTATATGTCAATGAATCATGTGATAAACTCCTTTTGATATGAAAAGTGCTAAAAAGCATTTTTTTCCAAGTAAATACTACTATGTGTGGAATTGTGAATTTTTACTCTAAAATGTTTCACATAGTTTAAAGAATTGTTTATATATATATATATATATGTATATATGTTACATGCATTTAAACTAATTGACATCCATTAGTATGGGTTAGTCGGACCTTGGTTATTAAATGGTTGTACTCATCCCATTATCTTTAATAT